GCCTTCTGTCACAGGCCCTCTTGCCAAGCAGAACGGTCCCAGTCTTTTTATTGCCTCTTGCTTGGCAGCTGTTCCAGCCCCCAGATCACTCCCGGTGCGCGTCTCACGGCTCTTTCCCGTTCTACTACCTAGCTGGAGAAGGGGGTTCCTTGTCTGGCCGTGGGGAGGGGGACCCGGCCTCCGCCGGCAACGTTCTATTAACGTCCAGTCACCCCTTACTGTAAGCCCCCTTTGAAATGGACACATTGACAAGCATCACGGGAGCATTACTGGTATCCCGAATGTCGCATCTGGCCACAGCAATCAGCGAGCCCTCTAGTCCCCCCTCCATCTCTGTGTGGAATAAATTATGTGCACTAAGGCACGTGCAGATGTGCACCACCAAGAGAAACACATGCTGCCAGCAGTGGGCGCTCTGCCAATCAGCTGGGCAGCACCAGCCTCTCTCCTGGGCAGGCACCCAGGTGCTCTGCCTATAGGGCCCACGGCCAGCAATCCTCGCTTGCTGATTTCCTGCCACACGCTGGGTAGATTCCCAGCCTGTAAATACTCTTTGATGTCACTGGCATGTGGCAGGAGCCCTGGGGAACACAGGCAGAGCCGTCCCGTCCACAGGCTGGCCCAGGGCACCCCCGGCTCTGAGCCAAGGGCTGTGCAGGCAGTTTCGTGGAAGCCAGACGGAGCCCAATGAGCCCCCAGCTCAGAGGCTTTGCTGCCTCGGCAGCCATGGGCGGGATGAGACCGTGGGAGCGCTGCGCTCTGTGCTGCTGTTCCACCCTCCCGCCACCGAGCTGCTGCGAGAACAGCCTTCCCTTTCCCGCGAGGGGCGAGGGAGACGCACGCACGCCCGTTACCAAAGGCCCTGGCAGACGGTAGCCCTGGGAGAAACCTCCCCTGGAGGAGCAGCTGTGTGTGGGGGGCTCGTTTGGCCGGGCGTGAGGGCTGTTTGGACTGGGGGAGGGGGGGAGGACGGGCTGTGTTTGCGCTGGAGGCCTGCAGGGATGGGTGTATTGGAAGGGACCTACCGTAAAACAAACGACTGCCCGGCACACGGCCATTGCTCCCCGGGGGGG